AATTTAAGTGTGCCTTTTTTTTTTTTTCTCCCCTCTTCTAAATCAGCCAAACAAAAATCCATTAGAGTACAGCCTGCTAACAAATAATCCAGGCAAAGCTGGGCCTCATCAGTGAGTATAGTGAGAGTTTGGCCAGCTCTCAACTGCTTTAAGCCATAGCAATACCTGGAAGAGTGTCTTAGAGCTAGCATTCATGAACGTGATTCTAGGCAGGCATCTGGATCTAAACAGTCCATCTTCACATCCCATCTTCCACAGTTTAGCAGGTTATGGCCAACGTGGGAAGCAGTGCACACAGCTGGAGCGATGCACACAATGAAAGAGTTGACACCAACACCACACACGCTTCAAGTGGAGTTATTTCAGACTAGTTCTAGGCTGGTCACTGTTAGGAAATGGTACATTAAGCCCAAACATTTCAGAACATTTTACAAGATATGCAACTAAAAATCTTAAGAATATTTTACAAGATATACAACTAAAATCATAAGGACGAGTAAATTTTAAGTGGGTGCTGGACCATGAAAGTGAAAAACATGGGTATTCAAGTCTAGCCACTGGGTATAAATTGCCCTGTGCATTTCCAAGGCAATCATATTTAGCTATTTAATACTGAGAAACAGTCCACAAGATCTTCCCTCAGCCTAACTCCACACTGCTGTTTGTCTGCCTCACACTATATAAATTGAACAGAGCATTTCCTCTAACTGAAGAGGTTTTTTTGTTTGTTTTTTCTTTATTAATAAATCTTCTTGCCTTATTCAGGGAAGATCGTTACAATACTGCACTAAGGATGTAGTTATCTCCGGAGTCCGGTTTTGCAGATTTACATATGAAAAGGCTGGCAAGAAGAAATGAAATACAAGGACAATGCATCGTCTTCCCAGTATCCACAACAAACCTGAAAAACAAAACAAAAAACAACAACAACAAAACACTTTTGCTGTGGACTGCTGACTATTTGGAAATAAACACTCTAGAGAAGGAGAGAGAAGAGATGCAGGAAGAGCTCGGCAAAAGTGTGAAAACATAAAACCTTGCAGACAAATTCTACCTCTAGATGTCCAGAGATACAGCTCACTTTACTTGGGAACCTATTTCATTACCATTTAATGTTTAAAAGAAAAGCTCAGGAAGACTAAGGAACTGGCACCCTGAGACGTCCCTTCCAGTTGTAGAGGAAAAAATGTGTCAGAGCAGAAAAACACACAGACAAGCTTTGAGCTGTGGTTGTCTTTATTAGAGTTGACAGAAAGGGACAAAGGATCCAACCTTGTAGTACAGCATTTCCAAAGTGGTAAGTGTTATAAGCAACAAAGATAGGGTGTGAGGATTTCAGGATTACTTTCTTCAAAGTAGGATATATAGGGCATTTAGATAATTATTATTTTACTGATAGCCAACACTGGTGTCTCAATCAGATGAAAAGTTTACCTTCAGTTCTGCAATTCAGATGATAAAGGTGAAAAAAAAGGCAAAGACAACAAGGCGGGGAAGCAGTAAAAGCAACATTTACTGTAGGTTCCTACAATACTTTACACATCTGGAAATAGGAGAAAAAATTCTTTACCACTAACCTGGAACAAACCATTGCTTTCACAATTTCCAATATGCTGTTAAATATGCAACACAACTGCAGAACAGACTATCTGAGGGCATCTGATTGCCCTCAAAGCATTATTTTAAACATTAGTCAAGTTTTCAATTCCTTAATTAACTTTTTCAGTTAAGTTCTCCCCAAGAACCTAGAAAGAATATTACACAGATAGAACAAGAGGTAAATTCCCCCAAATAAAATTCAACACCTTTAAAACAATTCCTGATCTCTAGCTACTCTACATGTCATTATTGCCAAAATTGCTGTTGCTCCTAATTTAAGGCTTCTAAATTAGAAATACTTAAGACAAAGAAGTACCAATGAAACAAAAGTGAAACAAGGAATTATTTTTAAATACACAGAGAAGATAAATGGCCCTCTTTAAACCTATCTCCCTCAGAGGGAAAAGAAAAAAAAAAAACACACAAGGATTTTGTTATGAGAAAAAAAACTGTAGTAACTGCAGTTATATTTATATTGGAACTGCATGAATAGCTTTAAAATTAAAAGCTTTTTTTTTTTTTTAAATATTAATTTTCAGTATTATTAAACCTATTGAAAAGAATTCTCAGTTGACAATATAATTCTATTTCCAAGAGTCACCTGTGCTGTATTCAAAACATATGGGTGATAAAACACCAATAAATTCAGGTACAGTTTTCAGAGGCAACCAATACCTTGGATGATTATTCTGTGTTTAGACTTCATTTCTTTCAGTTGATAAAATGATTCAAACAACATGTTTACAATGTCACGGTCTCTTACATTAATAGAGCTTATGCTTGGAGATCATCATCTAGTTTGGGGGTTTGTATATATTATTTATATACACACACAGAGAAACACAAGGCAAATATTAAGCAGATCCAATCTAGTACTCTTAAAAATGAGTACTGCATAAACAAAACATAAGTGCACATAGCAATTTCATGTTCTAAACCCACCCACACAGTTGTTCTCAGCAATTCAAGGACAGATCTGCATGGGCAGATTCACAGAGTTTGAGTTACAGACATCTGTGCTGAAATTATGATCAGCATATGAAGGTGTTGTTCATTAAGCAACTGAGTAAGGTCTTGTTTCTTTATTTATTTTACCCTCAAAGAGAAAATAAAAACACAAAAATTTCAACAACAACAAATGCAGAATAACTTCAAGGTACTCTGCTTCTTTCATTCACACCCAGAAGCCTACTCACCTTGAAGCATAATCTTAAATTTACATGTACGAAATCATTTACCTTAAAAAAATCTTGGGGGGGGGAAAAAAAAAAGAATACTTGAGACTACAGTGTAGCTTGGGCAGTATTGCCTTCAGCTGCTGCCAATACCACACAGCAAATGAAGGCATATAAGCCCTAACAAACCAGCTGTAGAGTTGCCAGTCTCCATAAATTATTTGTCTCAGTGTCTAAAAGTCAGAGCTCATCTTAAGGCCCAGTGCAGGAAGTCTTCTCCTTCTGGGACACTTTGTTTACATGAGCTGTTCATGGTTCTATGATCCACGGAGAAGCCCAATCCTTCTTTAACCCTGCTGGGGTGAGTGGCCTCATTTTACCTCCATTATTTCCCATCGCAGTTAAGTTTTACAGTCTAATTACCTATTATGTCAGCAAGTCTGACAAGCAAAGCAGTCTTTGGCAAAAGTCTAGAGACTAAAGAAAAGCTGGACCAAGAGTCTAAAGCATAAACAAATGTCCTTATTTAAAAGGAAAGACAAAACTTATGTTATTCCAAGCTTTTTACTTTCCTTTTAATGGAATGCCTCTGTGCTCTTGTGTTAAGAGAACAACAGAAGCCTCATTTGTAACTAATTTTAATCATGTCATCCTCTCATGCATCTCTTTTGCAAGGCAAATAATCTTCTATTTTCTGAGCTAAAATAGAGAGACAGCACCTAGGTTTTGTTTCAACAGCCTACAGCAGCAAAGTTTCACAGCTTACTTATAAGCATTATAATCTAACTTGATTAACTGGAAAAAGATAAATTTATACATTTTCCATAGCTTCCTCAGAGCTCCTTTCCATGGCTTTCAGTCAATACTGAATGGCATTTCAAGAACTTGAGTCAAGAGCATCAACAGAGCAAGTGCTGGTTATACAATGGCATCATCTCCACGTGTGAGCTGCCACAGCCTCCTCCAGCACTGTAGGATGCATTAATATCAGAGCAAAACATAAAAGAGCAAGATATAAAACAACATCGATAAAAGAGCTTGACAGGCATGCCTATTTCTTCATGTGAACGTTGAAATATCAGGACAGGGAGGCCGACAAAGCACCTACAGTATGTGTATGCCCACAGAAAGCTCCAGAGTAGTTACGGTATGAGCCAGCTCGCATGGATTTCAATGCATTGGGACTGTTACCATACAAACATAGCCAAAATTCCACTTTAAAAAGAATATGCATACCCTATCATCAGCATCTTTTGCTCCATTATCAGGAGATTTGCAGTCAAACACACCTTCTGATTTAGTTTTCTCAGAATTAAGCAGAATCTTGATCTGCACAGTCTTTCCCACCGTACATTATGCAGCCCGTGTACCAGCTCGTTAATACCTCCTAGCCTCGAAAGCTACAGGGATTTCACAATTCTTCCTGTAACATTTACAAAATATTTTCATAAATTTCCTACTTACTGAGCAAACACGTTCTGGGAAGACGTTCCGACTCAGAATCGTGTCTGGAGCACCCAGCTGGCTCTCTGGGGAGGATGGGGGAGATGGTGGCTGGAGCCTCCCCACCGAGCAAATCCCCCCAGCCTGCAGGGCAGCAGGCACCGGTGGGACATGGGCAGCAAGGACCTGGCCTTATGGTCATAGCCCAGTGCCCACAGCGTGCCCAGGGGCTTGGCTTTCCTCCTGGCTGGGCCACCGCCGTGCTGGGCAGAGGGGGTGGATGCCGGGGGCTCAGCGCTGCGTCCTGCTGCTCATGGCTCAGGAGCCAAGTAGGTGTTACAGGGCTGGGTAGAGAAATACTGTCATTATATTATACATGGCTGCTTTACTTTCTGGACCACCTCCTGGAAGCAGAGCTTTCCCTCGCTCATACAGGTGTATTTTCATTGGGTTTCACTCTGTGCGTGAGCACAGGCGTTATCACAGCAAACGTATCTGCAGAACCACACACGGGAAGTGCATGGGCAATAATAACTGCCCTTCCCCGCTGAATCAACTCCTCTATTCGTTTTGGGTAGTGCCCAGCACCCTAGCGTACAGCTGGCGGTGCGCTCAGCACCTCCCCCAGGGCTGCGGCCGAGGGCAGCCTCGAACCCGGGTCTCCCGCTTCAAACCCGAGCCCGTCTCCCGCCCGTTACAGCACCTCCCCTCCCGCTCCCGCCCATTGGCTGCGAGCACTGCGAGGCCCCCGGGGCGCCCAGCGCTCGCCTGCCCCTTGCCACCCCCCTCTCCCCACAGCGCAGCCCCGCGGCTGCCTCCGCGCCGCTTCCCTCCCTTCGCTCGCTCCCCGCTCCCCCCTGCGCGGTGCCTCGCGTCCCTCCCTCACCCCTCCGGCTGCTCCGGGGGCCCGGCCGCTTTCAGGCGGCGTCAGCAGCAGCGCCCGGCGAGGCGGCGGGGCCCTGCGGCGGCGCGCAGGGAGCCGGCGGTGGCCGCGGCGCCTGGGTGCCGCCATGTATTACCGCTTCAGCGGCGTCACGCAGCGCCTGGTCGGGGCGGCCGCCTCCGCCGCATACAGCCCGCAGGTAACGGCAGCGGCACAGCCGCCACAGCGGCACCCGGGCGGAGCCGGGCGGATCGGGGCCGCCGCTGCCTGTCCGGCCCGGCCCGTGACCTTGGGGCTGCCCGGCCGTGCGGGGGGGGGAGCTTGGGGGTACCTGAGGCAATACGGGTAAGGGGGTATACGGGGCAGTTTAGGGCCGCCTTGCTCGCTTCTGGGCTCGTTTGGCGCAGATTAATTAGGCTACGCGCGCACGGGTTAATTAGGCTGGGGCCGGCTGGCTGCTGCCAGGGCCCCGGGTAACGGCAGGGGCTCAGCGGGGTGGCGGGGGCGCTGGGGGAACTGAGGGAGCCTCGAGCCGTACGGCTCGGTAGGGAAAAAAGCACTCGGTGTGGGAATAAAAAGGTGATTGCTGCGGGAGGTGAAGGCTTGGAGGATGGAGTTTTCTCTTTTCTGATGTGAACTCAGCTGGTTTATTTTAAAAGAGTACATTTATGTACACACACGGGAGAAGTCAAGGGATAATTGCTTATTAAAAGCAGACATATTTCGGTAGCGTGTGTATTGTTGTGATACACCTTTTTTTTTTTTTTTTTTACTTAACTCTTCCCTGCCCTCATTCTGTAAGCACCGTGCTGCACAGTTCTGCTCTCCCTGGGAGCCTTCACTCTGCGGATTTTACTTGGACAGCGCAGTCTGCAGGCAGCAATGCTGTGCTAGGCTTCTGTAAAACACTGCGCTGTTTCAAGGGACCCAGACATTTTATTTGGATGCTTTCTGAACTTAAGGCTTCATAGTTTAGATGGATAGACAGCGAGAACGATGATGATTGTTAAGCGGGTCACACGCTTTGTGGGTGCTGGTACCAAGCACAGTGCTGCAGGTTGCTGCAGAACCCTATCAGTTACCTGGAGCAGGCAATAGAGCCCACTCTTGTAATGTTTGCAGAAGACATCAAAGCATAGGGTGGTCTGAACTTCTGGAAGTAGAGCTGCCATTCAGAAGGAGCTAGGCAAAGTGGAGGAATGGGATTCCTTGAGGGAATAAAGGCAGAGGTGTGTGTGTGGGGAGGAAGAGCTCCTGGCAGAGGCTGGTGGGAGCAGCTCTGCAAATGGCCTGGAGATAGAGGCAGACAGCAAGCTGGACGTGAGGCTGGACATGCATCCTGCCTCCAAAGGAGACCAACGTCATCCTGGGCTGTATCACCATGTGCATAGCCAGTACCTGGAAGGAAGTGATCGCCTCCAGCTGCTGTGTCCAGCTGTGGGCCTCTTCATGGAAAAGTTTGGCATCAGCTGGAGCACGTTCAGCAGAGGTCCCCAGTATGGTTGGGAGGGTCAGAGCACTTGCTCTGTGTGGAGATTCAGAGGAGACAGAGCTTGTTCAGATGGGAAAAGAGGAGCTGAGGACACGGGCATTTTGCAGCTGGGACCTAGGAGCAGCCAGCCAGAACCTGCAGGAGAGTTACTGGGATGGAGCCAGGCTCTGCACAGCGGTGCCTGGTGGGAGGGCACAAGCTTCAACAAGCGAGCTTCAAACTGGGTGTAAGGAAAGATATTTCCTTGCTTGAAGGCAGGCAGTGAAACAGGTGCTCCTGGAGGCCATGCAGTCTCCAGTGCTGGAAGACTTTCAAGGCCAAACCAGCCAAAAGCCAGAGCAACCTAGCCTGACCTCATGGCACAGCCCGCTCTGGGGAGGAGTTTGGGCTAGCACTGGAGAGTCTCCTGAATTAACCCATGATCTTAAATAAACATCGAGTTACCCATGACTTTCTGAAATGCCAGTTTCTATCCCAAGAATGGTTTTATTCTTCTCTTTCCCCAGTGCTCTTTAGGTTTCCTGTATAGCTTTTGGGAGAGGGTCTGGGGAGAGAGCAGGACGCAGGGAAGACAGTGGAGTAAATATGTTTCAGTGTAAAAGTACGTCTGTTCACATCTTAACAGGCACCTGTGGTAGAAAACACCACAGGTACAAGGTTTGGGGTTTTTCTTAGCTGTTCTATACAAATATATTTAATCTATATATAAATTAAAATGTGAAAAGAGTCACATGGGTAAGTAGTTGCTAAGTCCAAATCAAAGTAATTTCTTTTCCTATTTTGGATTTCTTTCCTATTTTGGATTAAATATAGCATTGCTGTATTTAATCAAACCACAGCTCAGCAATTAAAGTGGTTTACTTTTTATGCTTCTATTTATTTTGATGGTTCTGGAAAAACAAGGATTTGCCATTCAAATTCTCCTCTGTTAAATATGCAACGTAATAATTCACTCTATTCTGTACTGTCACATTCTGATGCTTCCCAATGCAGTATTATTTTGATGCAAGTTTAAGCTTATTGTGGGCTTACAAAATACCAGCCAAAATGTATTTCAGAAATGCTTTTGCTGACAGCTAACATAACTAACTACTCATACTAACAAAAAATTCCTTAGCTTAAAACCTGTATTCTTCTTTCCATCTGAGTATTAGCATTCTTAAATGACTTAATTTTGCATTTAATAGTTCATGCTACTTTACATAATTTTGTTTAGCCTGTTTGAATAAATGGGAATTTTCTCAGCTAGCACAGGTGAGGAATTAAATAGATTAAAAATATTCCTCTGATTAGGAGGCTAATGACAGCCATAGCCATTATAAATTCAATACAAACTATTCACTCAAAGAACTGGCCTGTGTTTAAAGCACTAACAGTGGGACTAGTTTCAGATGCCGTCAGGTGAGTATGACTGTATGGACTTTTCTCTAGCTCACACCACAGCTCAGGTAGAAATTCTCATACTGCCACATCTTCAGATGATACAACTTGCTTTGCTTGTAGCTATGAAAACACAAAAACAAACCACAAAGCAAACCAGAAATAAACCCCACACACATCTTCTGACTTAAACTGGTGTGAATCGTTTGGAATTGGTTGAGAAGCTAATGATTAACCTTTTGTACTGTCAATCATACTTTGAATATACACAAAAACACTTAAATGTGTCATCCCAATGCAAGCAAAGCTTCAAGTAATCCTATCTAAAAGCATCCTTGTGTTAGTAATGACAAACAGATTTAACTTCATACAGTGAGGTATGTGCTGCTGCAAATGATCTATTTAGGTGAGAAGTGTCTAGTTCACTTAGGTTCATAAAAGTTACTTCAATTCATGTTCTGAAGTCATATTTCTCAGCTTAACTTCCTTTCCAGTTTTCCTTTTTCACTTACACTTACCTCAGCCTTCTCCACTTTCTCATTCTGTGATTCAGCTTGACCAATTTCCCTAGCATTTACAAACTTAAGTGTGGTGCTCTCTATTAAGTTGCGTTCCTAATTCTTACCTGTTTTATGCTACTAGGAAAAATGCAAATCTCCCTTTGGAGTTCATGCTAGGAAGATGTAAGTTTGTTTTAACTTTGAACATGTTGGCCAACCAACGGGTAGGTTGACCTGCAGACCTCTGACAGGAAAGCAAACACACTTTACAGAGGAAGAGGCAGAGAGTTAAACCTAATCATACTGGTGTCTGAGATTTTGTACGTTTTCGATTAGCCACATGTCCTGACCTTTCATTAAGGACTTCAGAGAAAGTCATTGTGTGCTTATGAAATCAGCTGATAGTGACTTTTCTGTATGAGTTGACCTTCTACACTTTGTCTAATAAGTAGAACAAATTCTTAATAGCTGGATTGATTAACATCTTAAAATCAGAAGAGAAATTATCAAGATGAAGCATTAGCTTAAGAAAAACAGGTCAAACATGTAGAGGCATTCGCTCTTTAGTAGTACCTTGAGTGTAGCGAAACACTGGTGCTAGTAACAACACCCAAACTGCAGGGTTATCTAAACACAAGTGTCATTTATGGTGTCTTAATGACTTGCTCAAAAATGATCTGTACCAAAATTCTTCTGTGTAGTACTGAGGATTTCTCTCCAGCCACAATAAGCTTAGCAAGCATCTGATTTTAAGTTTCTTAGCTAATCTTAAGTTTCTTAGATGCTTCCTTTTGCTGATGTGACCAGAACTGGTTGGTCTTAATTCAGCACTTCATGTGCAAGACTGCTCAGTACTAAGGTGCTAGTTACTGAATGTGGAAAAGAATCCAGTTTTGCCAGCTTTCTTTCAAAATACAACCAAGACTGTCGGAAATATGGGATTCTAATATTCAAGCACTAGAGAAGCAGAAGGCTGTTTTGGGATGTTGAGAAGTCTACTCTTTCCCTCGAAGATGCCTATTGTGGCAGAGAATTTACAGCCATATGGAGAAAACATGCCTGGTCTGCAGCAGGCCTAAGAGGAAAAGAGTGCAAGTCTTATTTCAGCTCCAAACAGTGTTCAGACAGTTCTCTTAAATACAAAAGGTATCAACTAGTCCCATGAGCAGAAACTAAAATTTGAGTGCAGCCTCAACTTGATCTAATAGAGAGCAATTGCTGTTTCTGTTTGAAATGAAAGACTGCTGCATTAACCTGCCTGTATTATGCTTTTTGCTTTTGCAGCAATTACAAAAGCCAAACATACAGCTGTTTCAGGAGCCATAATTTACATCATCACTGTCATGTGCTGAAGCATAACTGTTAAGTCTACTTCTAATAAAACAGGCAAGGAGGCCATCTCACGATTGCTGTAACTTTGTACACTTAAAATCTTATCCATTAGAACTGGATCCTGTAGTTTTATATCAAATGCAGGGTACAACCATCAGAACTGAAAGGAAATTAACTTACGCTGCTCAGAGGGAACACATGAAGGGTGGCAAGCTGCAACAGCATGTGAATTACAGGGTGTTGTTACACCAGCTTAAAATATCTACCCTTTCAAAGCATCTGAAGTGTCCTTGAGCACCACTTATTTATCACCTTCATATGAAATAGCAAGTGGTCATAACCTATTTTTTTTAATTATTATTTTTTGTTGTTGCTGTTTTCTGTTTTTTGTTTTTCCTTTTTCCTCACTCTCCAGCCCACACATCCCAGTTATTTCAGGCCCAATTCTAAAGGCACTGCTTAGAACGTTCAGGAGGAAGAGTTCGGTAAAGTCTCCTCACTCCGCTGGACCCTAGAATCAGGGATTTCCCACTCCTAACCCTTCTACTCTGATAGGATCAAGGTAGTCTGACTATGTGCAAAAACAAGCAACAATTAGGACCAAATACCAACACAGAAAAGCATATAGTAGCTATGAATTTATGTCTTGCAAAAAAAAATAAAAAAGGAGGCTTCTGTTTTCCTCACAAAGTCCGAAGTTGTAGCAGAGAAACGAATGGGCCAACAATGTGTCTTTTGTTAGCTGTCACTTTTTTTTTTTTTTTAAACCACGGGTTGTCATATCAGATAAATATTCTTTGTAACCTATCCTTGTAATGACTGGCAGTATGCCTGCCTAACGTGACAATTGGTACATTTGCAAGTATTATATACCTTGATATTTTAATCTTTATTTATGCAGGGACTCAAACCAATAGTTTCCACTGAATCCCCAGCTCTGATTTTTGGGACAACAACTAAACTTGCTTCAGATTTACCAGCAACTGATTCTTTCTTGGGTAAAAACAAGGTGCCAGACCTACAGAAAATTTTTCAGGTAACGACAACTTTGAGAGTAACGTAAAGAAAACTGGAGACAGTGGGTCATATTTTGCCCTATTTTAATGTGGCTTTTGTCATTCTGCAATACCTACACTTTTCAAAGTGCACTTAAAGGTATACAGTATAATTGTATCTGTCCCATGACCTTGCATGGGACATAAATAGAGAAAGTGAAAAGTCTAGTAAGTTTATCTTTCTTTTGGTGGGCTTCAAAAGATGCTGATTGTATTACTTGACTATTAGAAGCATTTTCCATCTGGGAATAATCCAAGCTTATGATTTAAAGCAGATCTGGAGGAGCAAAGCAGATCATTACTGTTTTGACTATAATAACTTGAATACTACCAAAGCTGTTCTAATACAATGTTAAGAAGAGCACAGTGAGGTTTTCAAAGCCAGTTTGTTAGCTGTGCAATTTCTAAATATACTGGGATTTCTCATAAAATGAGTAAGTTCTTTTTTTAAAAAACAAAAACATTGAGAATGTGCTTTATAATGTACCCTTTTCTCTCTTTCATGCCACTTGCATTTGGAATATGTCAGTCTGACTTGGTGAATAACCTTTTCTATGCATCTTTTCACATTCTTTTGTTAGTGACACTTTTCTCATCAAAGTCCTCTTTAGGAATATTTCAAGATATATTCTTTCTGCCTGCACTTAATGGCTTTGGCTAATAAAATTAACTTGCATCTGCATTTGTCTTGCTAAATGAACATCACTTAATACATCTGATTGTAGATAGCCTGTTTGTCAGGAGGTTTCCCTCATGGGAGTCTCTAAGTTTACCTGAGGTAGCTTGTTCGTGGTGGCTTCTGTCTGGGTGTTCATTTTCTTTTGTGTGTTTTTAAACTCTTCCCACAGAAAGCAGATGGACTGCCAGTACACCTGAAACGAGGAGTTCCAGATAGGCTGCTTTATCGGACCACTATGGCTCTAACAATAGGCGGGACTATCTACTGTCTAGTGGCACTCTACATGGCCTCACAACCAAGAAACCAAAAGTAAATGAACTCATGGGACTCATGACATCTGAAGGACCTCCTGCATGTCTCTCCCCTTTCTTCTTAATTCTGTGATCAATCATAAAAAGTTCACTATTCAGATCAAATTTCTGGGAGAAACTGTGTTTAAATTGGTTGCCTTATGTGCTCTAGAAATCAATATAAACAGACACAAACTCATCATCTTAACATATGGTTGTAGCTTTGCACTTGTTCTATTGCAGGAGTGTATGAACAGTTGGAGAAAGTTAAGTTTTTCCTTCATCCCCTCCCCCAGTTTCAACAATGTTAGAGATGGGACAGAAGAAATGCTTTCGGGGCTATGCTCTACATTCATTATTGGGAAGATGCTACCAGTTTCCAAAACAGTAAAAACAAGTAATTTAATTATTATAACATAGCAAGAACCTGTTTCTGTCATGCACAGCTCATTTTACATAACCAGGTGGCAGTGGAACTTCTCCAAATGCTGGTATATTATTTAACACTTGTACCTCTGATGGCAGGACAAACGGCTTAGCTCCTTGGAATATGTAAACTGGATTTATTCCATAATGTGAACATCACAGTATGTAACAGAATGCAACAATATTGTAGCATCAGTTGTACACCAGTTTTTGGACTTCCATTTGTCAAACACTCTCTTGTTGTGCAATAAAGATAACCACGTGAATAATGGGCAAGTCTTGAAAGTTTCATACTACTTCAGCTGGCCTTATAGCAAAATGTATTAACGTACTGTTACTCAGGTTCAACTTGCAGATCTTAAACCAGACAACGGATTCAGCTGCCCTACTGTAATCTTTTTGGGATGCTAATCCTCTTAAAACTCTATCTTGGAACATGTTGGGTCTTTAACTATAAAAGTTTTGGTGAAACAAGTCACTGTGTTTCATAGCTCTGCTGTGTATTATTTCCAGTGGATACATGTATCCATCTATATACACATGTAAACACACATTTCCTCTGCCGCATGGGTCGAGATGGAAAGTAATAAAACCTTTAATTAATTTTTTCCTCTGTAATATAACCTTGAACTGGTAGTTTCACACAGGTCTTTATAAAGGATATTTTCTAATGGGATGGATCTGGCTCTGGTTCATGAACACAGAATACTCCCAGTCACTCAGGCACTGAATGTGGATGAACATGGATTTGCTGGCCTCTGTAAAGACCCATCTCTCCCAGAGCTGTGAAGAAAACATTGTCCTCATAAATTAGCAAAACAGTTGATCAAGGAACCTAAAGTTTCCATCTGTTCACTCTTTTTTAAATTCGTTCTGATTTGTTTTCTAGTTAAGTTATACTAAAGCCTTATTACTGTTCCACAGGAAAGAAAATAGCTGCTTGTGCTGTGATCTCAGCTTTCAGTCAATGTTGGTATTTCAGGAGTGGAGAGATTAATTCACTAAATAAGAAAATCATATGGACAGCAAGAGTCAAAGAGGAACAATTAATGATGTTGTGAAGGAAGTGTCAGATATTGTTTCTTCTACTGATAAAATATTTTATCCTAAGTAGCACATGTTTCCATAGCACTAAGAATCTTGTGTAGGCTGTGAAGTCTATTCTACAAAATTAATAATAACAATTAAAAAAAAGCAGCATGGTAGCTTATTTTCTGTCTTCATATCATATATTAAGCACCCCCTAAAAGAATCATCTAATAAAGGATACTTGTTTTTGTCCTCAAACTTGACAGGTAAATGTTCATGGAGATGACTTGGAGATTTTTTTTTGTATTTATTTTTTTTTGTGAATTTTTTATAGTTCACAGTGGTTAACTTCCTACTTGCTAAGGTAGATGTGGATGAAGTAACTAACCTTTTCCCCTTTAGCATATTAACCAGTGGCAATACTCTTCTGCGTACTTGTGGAAAGAACAGCAGCAGAGACATCACTCAGGCCAGCTTTCTTTCAAAAGGATCTCAACTAGAATATTGGGTTTATGTGTTGCTATAGGAGTCATGATTGGAATTAATGGATATCTGACTCATCTTTTTACTCTGGGTCTGTTGTTTTCCAGATTTTTGTCAGATTTAGCATTTGTGTGCTAAAGGAAAAAGAAAACACCATGGACTTTAGCAGATGACCTGATACTAGATGATCCATTGTTTTATTTAAGCAGTGTGGATTCTGGAAAAACTTTTCACTTTGCCTTTCTCAAAACAAAACAAACAAATAAACCTGACCCAGCTGAAGCAGGATGAGAATGCTCCTTCAGCTTGTCAGATTTACATCCATACTTCAGTTGAGGCTAAAGAACAAAGAATCACTGGTTGTCTACAGCCACCAGGCAGGGCTCCAGTCTTGAGAGAAAGAGGAAACCACATTTCTATATTCCCACAACAAAGTGCTCTGAAGAAGAGGAAAGCTTGAAAGCTGCAGCCAAAAGGTTAGGACATAGAAGGAAAAATTGTGCCCCTGTTCTTAGTTAGTTTTGAGATCACCATAAAGAAATTTCAACATGGTAAATCATTTTTCTTCCTAAGAAAGAAAAGCTCTCTTAGACATGCTTTTAAAAATGTTCTGGTGCCAGAGACCTCTGTGTGGATTCAAGAGGATTTAAAGTGTTTTGAATTATTATTTGTGATAGAGACACCTAATCTTCTTACTCCTAAACCCTCAAGAACACCCTTACCTTTAACATAAATAATCTTTCTCCTTGGGCTGATGTTAAATAAGGTCTTAAGTAAGGAAAACTAGGAGTGATCTGCAACATCAAGAAGAAGGCTACCTCATTCCCACAAGTAAGAATCTGACTTGGATACTGTAACTTCACTGTTACTTTTTTTTTTTTTTTTAAAAGAGCCTTTCAGGTGCATCTCAGAATTCCTGCAACATACCACCAGTGAGGTCCAAGGAAACAAGATGCGTTTTGAAGTGATAGCTTATACTCTAATGTTTTGGCTTGGATGCACAGCAGAGAATAGATTATGATAAGCTCTCATACCCCAAGGTGCTGGGGTTGGAAGGGAAAGCAGCTGAGATTTACAATACTCAGGAATAAAATTATCTCATGATAATCATCCATCCCCATGGCATTATCTTATTGTTGAGAGACCATCGTTTTCCTTCTTAAATGATCTCTCTGGCAACCCGAATTCAATAGTTATGTCTTTGTAATGGTTTTTAAATAAGATCTCTCCCTACTTTTTATGTGGGTGTACTGGAATAAATGCACTTGAGAAGATGTTGATAGTATGCAAGTATGTCTTTCAGCTGCTTTAAAAATAAATGTATGCTAAGGATTCCTTCCCCACATTACAGTATGACCATACAATCTCAACAGATTTTTTGCCTCAACAATTTATATTGTCAATATTCAATGCCAAGACATTAATTAATTGACCTTCCCTTAAAGTGAATCTTGTCAAATTAAAAGGTACTGTAATAAAAGCAAGATAAAGTAGGGAATCAGAAATCTGAACTTGCTACCGAACGTTGCTTATTAATCTTGCAGATGTCAAAAAGCTGAGCAGAGTGTTTAAAGGCCATTTCCTCACATACACACACACAAAAGGCACTGTACATACTCCCTTTTTACCATCCTTCCTCCAAATTCAAACCTTCCAAGAGGCTTTTGAAGAGTCACAGATCAGTTTTTCCACTCCTGTCACAAACCATTACCACAGCAATCTTAAAATTTATACAATCCAAATGCTTTAGCACAAAGTGGAAAAAGCGCATGTATCAGGTAAGTTACATAGGAAATCATGCTCAACTGTTCTTAAAAAAATATATACATATATATTACAAAGTACCTTGATTTTATGATAATACACTAACTTTTTTTTCCCTTCTCCTGTCCTTGTTCTCAGTCAAAACTTCATGGAAGCAAAAGTTTGATCTCTGCTTAAACTGGAAAGTGGGAAGAATTTTCCTGAAACAAAAGCATTAGTTTTAGCAGTAGGCATGCAAAACAACCTTTTAAGTTTTTTTGTTTGTTTTTCATATTCAGTACTAATTGCATCTTAGTTTATTGAAGATTGAGTCAATTCCAGCTAGCCTTCATTGCATTGCTAAGAATTAGAAGCCCATTTGCTGTTGAGAGTTGCAAGCATGCCTGTGAATCAGAATTCAGGCATACACTATCAAATACCAGTACGGCATCTCACTAGTGCAAGATCTTATCCCTTAGTGAGCTATCCTGGTACTTCCTATATGCTCACAGACTGCTTTTGGGTACGGCACCAGGCAGAAGGAGCCATTTCATCTGTACATGAATTCTCCCAAAATACAAAGAAGTTAAATTCAAGGGTCTGTCCCACCCCCACTCGCCCATCTGTTGCAGACAGCCCATATCTGGCCTACAAAAGGCATTCCTACCATCCTCTAGCTCCAAAGAGAGAGGATGCTCCCTGCTGAAACATTTTCTAAATGGCTTTGCCCAGTGGATTCAGTGCTGCAAAACTAGTAGGGGTGGGAGGGAGAGGGAAACTTTTTGTCTCACTTCACCTCAGCTACATACAGTCATCACTTTTCTCCCTTCCTCGCTGGTACATTTTTATTCATAAAAAGTTTTTTGGTTTACTTCATTTTTTCTTTCTCCACAGCATTTTAAAAATATTCTGTGCTGCAAAGGGAATGAAATTGTTTCTAAATGTTTCAAGAGAACTTCTGAAATATTCATATCAGGAAGCATACATTTGTCACATATATTTTTATTCTGTGAGCGGGAACAAACCCTGGAAGTCTCCTCTGTGAATGATATGATCTTTGCATCTGCTCTAGGTGCACAGGTGAAGCCCTTCCTGCATGGCAGGTCTTTGAAGAAGTTGCCAGACTGGTGTTCAGACATAGGGGCATCAAAAGACGTGCTGATTCCAAGCACCTGACTGCCTATCTCAAAGAAATAGGCAAAATATTTAATTCCTACAACATTCTTACAGCCATGTTATCTGAAATATGTATCACACCCGTTTCTATATCTTCCTCACAACGCAGTTGCACACACGTCAATCTTGCTATTAATCGCTTTGTGTGTTTGTGGTCTGCTGCTACATCAGACCCTTCAGACTCTCTGATTTCATCACTGAGCTCCTATTCTGAGCACCCAAAATTAGAAATTAGGCATTAATTATAACATATGACTGTTACAAAACTTTCACAAGGCACAGAACAAGAGACAGCTGTCAGCATCCACAGCAGAGTTCGGTACAGCCTGCTACCGTAAACCAGCAGCTCTCCCAGCCGCTCCAAGCAGTCCTTAGTATGTTGCCTGGTTCCGCATTACATGTGAGGAAGTCCACCTGCATAACCTCTAGTTGCTTACCCACTTGCTAGAGAAGATTGAGCACTGTCTAATCCAAAATACTCTACAATTGCAAGCTGCATCTAAACTGTAACAGCACTTCTTTGGAAGGAGGTGAGCAGAACATGTTGGGAGGAGTGGAGAGGCAGCAAGTGTCACTTCCATCACCTCAATCCTGACTTGCAACCAAGGGAGCAAAACTAATGAAATGTAGTTTTCCTGGCACAAAGAACAAGTGCTTCTCATTAAAACTTAGTCTTGCATAAGCATAACAAAAACGTGTTAGTCTTCTAATTGGAACTGATTAAACAAAGCTGATATTCATAACAAAAAACACACTTGAGCATCCTAATCATTAGCAGCATGACCCTGCAGAATTCACAAGGGTTGAGACTTCTTTTTAGGCTTTCATAAAACAACAATGAAGCCCTACATTGCAGAAAGCAGGCTGGAGTCTACATAGGATCACTGAGATGTGGAGGAACCAAACTCCCAGTGCTGTGGCTGTCTTAAAATCCCTTCAGAAAAGCACACTTTAAAAGCAATGAACAGATAATTTCTGGCAATCTTAAAATAAGGTTTTTAGGTTTCCCAAAAATTCACTTGGAGGCCTTCCTAAAGCCCTGTAACAGTTTTCTGTGGCAACTGAGGAACAACTTGCTAGACAAAGGTCTGGACTTTTGTTTAGACATGCTCCCAGCCACACAGAGCCTGGCAGATAACGCCTATCAGGGCTGACTGTAGAGAATCTGTGTATTTGA